ATAATTTATTAATTCTATTTTGTTAGTTAAAATCTTTCTTTCTTTTTCTAAATGCAATATTTTACGTGAACTTTACGTGAACTTTTTTTTTGCAAATTTTGCAGTTCATAGGAATGTTATTACATCGTTTTGGTACTATGGCACATATAATTGCATCAACGCAATTATTTTGTTGGCGTAAACATACGGATCATTTAACGGAAGATGAATTAGTTGTACAAAATGCGGTTGAAATAGCACGTGAATTACAAGCAATCCGTGGTGTTGATGAACCCGATGAAAATGCTCAATCGGTATATTTTTCATTTGAAATTTATCATCTTTATGATAAATTATTTTAAATTTAAAAATGTATTTTATAATTTATTAATAATTAACGGAAAGATTAAATTTTTTTTCTTTTTTTTATTAAATATAATTTAGGAAGAGCAAGCAATCTCACGTCGAAATATTGTTCGCAATTTGGAATCTTCCAAACGTTCAATGTATCGACCAAAAACGGAAACGCTTGATGCTGCATTCCGGAAACGTTTCTTTGCATTATCAAGTAATAAAGCAATTGATCGTTCCAATAGTGAAAGACGTTTAACATTACGTCGGAATACCATTCGTGCTATTGAACGACGTCGGAATTCAATTTTCGGTAATCAGCAACCAAATGAGGTAATTTCATTGATATGTTGATAAAGAAGGAAAGAAAAAAAAAACCACCTGGAAAAAAAAAATAGAATTCTAATATTGAGCATATCACATCTAATCACATTAAACTAATCGTTTGATTTCTTTTATTTCGAAATTAAAAAGACAAAATTTTTAATTTCATATTTCTTAAATTTAAAGATTTATGATTAATTTGCTACCTATACACCAATTTCACTTTTTGTCATAAGAAATTTCATTTGAATTATAAAGAGGAAGCTGTCATAAGGCTTTTATATCTTTGCTATTCATAAATTATCTTCTCTAAGGATGAGGTAACATCACTGGTGGAAGATCGACGACATCTATCAAATGATGAAAATCGTTATACAACCAGGCGAAACAATCTCTTACATTTATTCGATGATCCGTTAAACAATTCCGGAAACAAAAAATAGTTTCCATAAAATTCCCATTTCTCTTTTTTTTTTTTCTATTTTTATATTATTTTTATGATTATCGCTTAGATATAATTTGTTGCAATCTTTCACTTTTTTTTTTTTAACAATTTATCGTTTTTTTTTTCAATGTGATAAAGTGATAGTACAGAAAAATATCATGATAATGTTTTACTTTCTTTTATTTATAGAAGTATAATTCTAATTGATAAATGATAAAAGAATGATAGACGAAAGATGAAACTGAACTATATGTTAATTTACTGCCAATTGATAGATGCTTTATATGGTTTTTCAAATAAATGATAAGAAAATAACTGTTTGCAAATGAAATGATTACAAATAGATGAAATTATCATAGCAAAGATTGGCATGATCATTGAATACGATAATCAAGGTAAGTGTTGAATTTCTTACAACATTCTCTTTTCTTTATTCATAATTTCACTGCATTAATTGATTACTGTTTGTCACTTTGAAAGTATCAGATTTATTGATTTATTCGGGAATCAAGTAGAAATTCTCCAAGGATTAGTTAAGGTTAACTACTGTTTGTCACTTCGAAAGTAAACAGTATTTA